TGCCAGTGGGACTTGGTAGGGACTGCTTTGACTGTAGATGCTTATAGTATGGACACTTAAACTAGTCAATCCTTGGTGGTTGTTTTTTTTTTAATTTACATTTCTTTGTGCTGTCTTTTCATCATTAGTTTTAAGTGCAAATTTTCACCCCCTTATTCACATTTATTCTTATTCATCCAATTGTAAATGGCTTTTGTATGTCTTGTAAAATAAAAATGCAACATATTTTTAAAAGTTCTGTTGCTCCCCTCAGCAGTGTACTTCACTGATACGCTGTTCTGCTTCCCACTCTGTCTCTGGTGAATCCTCTCACCAACCCTGCACCTCTGGCTTGTACTCCAAGTTCTGTATGCATAAATTTAAAAAACCTTAAAAAAAAAAACCCAAAAAACAAGCTTAATTTTTGCACCTAAGAACTGGGGTATAGGCCGGGGGAGAGGGGGGTGGTGTGAGAAAGAGAGAGAGATGAGAGGATTCAGTAGAGTGGTGAGCAGAAACAGGCAGGCAGATCGAAATACACTGCTGAGGGGAGCAGTGGGCAAGACAGCAGAGGTCTGCTACACCATGTGGGTCAGCTCCCTGGCCAGGGATTGAACTCGTGCTGTGGTGGCTGTGGGCAGCTTCAGAGTGCTGACTTAATCCTCTGCTTCACCAGGGAGTCCTGAAAACAGATTTTTTGTATATTTATCTTGTAGTTTTACTAGACTGATTGATTAGTTCTAAGTTTTTTATTGGCATCTCCAGGAATATATGTATTATATGGTACACAATCCCATATATATTATCTCTCACATGACCCAGAAATGTTTTACTTCTTTCCAATCTGGATGTTTGCCCTCCCTTTGCCAATTGCTCTGCTTAAGGATTTCAAAGTCATATTGACTAGAAGTGGTCAAAGTAGACATCCTTCTCTTCTTCCTGATCTTAGGCTTTTAGCTTTCACCCATGTTAGTTGTGGAATTGCTACATATAGCCTTTATTATGCTGAGGTATATAAGCCCTCTAAGTTATTAATATTAGTGTTGGATTTTATTAAGACCTAAAAGGATTCATCAGAATGGGGAACAAAACAGGCAGAACAATGAAGTACACTGCTGAGGGGAGCAGCCCAGATACAGGAGAGGTCTGTTGTGCCATGTGGGTCACTCCCCCCCCCCCCCAATTCAACTCATGCTGAAGTGGCTGCGGCCAACTTCATTCACAGTGCTGCACTTTAACCCTTTGTGCCACCGGAGAGCGCCCTGTTTTGGATTTTTTTTCTGTTGAGATCATTACATGATTTTGATGCTTTGCTTACTGGGCTCTTATCACATTGTTTTTTGATGTAGAATAAACTCCATTTGAACACGGTTGTATTACATAATTTTGTTAACTTTGCTTCTACATCACTTGGGGATACTGACCTACAATTTCCTTTTCATGTGCTCTTGTCTGGATTTGTACTAGTGAAATGAATATTAAAGTGTTCCCTCTTCTACTTTTTTGGAAATGTCTCAGGATTAGTATTAAATACTTGGTAAAAACTTGCCAGTGACTTTATTTAGGATGACCTTTTCAGTTTCTTAACTGCTAAACATTCTGTTCAACTTTATTCCTTCATGATTCACTTCTGGTAGAATGTGTATCTCCTAAACTGTCCAATTTGTTGGTGACTGTTACCACTCTCTCATCCTTTTTTTTTCCATGACCAGTATTTGTTCTGTTGATCAGACTTAGCAGTTAGATAAGTTTCTGACCTACTCATGATGCTTGTGAGGCATGTGCAATTAGTTATAATTACAGTAATGTAAAGTACCAGAGCATTTAAGTGACTTCTTTAAGTTGACAAAATTAAATAAAAACTTCAGATGCTAAGTCTGATCTCATTTAAAAATTCATGCTGTCCCCATTTTTCACTTTTCTGAGCATTTTTGTAAAATGATGTTAAGAATTTGGTTAGAGTCCCTTCGTGGTGCAGGGGTTAAATCTCAGCTCTATGAAGCTATCCACAGCCACTGTAGCATGAGTTAGATCGCTGGCCAGGGAGCTGATCCACATGGCGTGGCAGACCTCTCCTGACCTGCCCACTGCTCCCCTCAGCAGTGCACTTCGTCGGTCTGCCTGCTCTACTCCCCACTCTGTCTCTGGTGAACCTTCTCACCCCCATACCTACAATTTCTGTATGCATAAATAAAAAAAATCTATGTATGACAGAATTATTTTTTTTTAAAGTATTCTAAAAATATGACATTTGAAACATCAAAAACGGGGCCCTCCCGGGTAGCACAGCATGTTAAAGCACAGCACTAAGAAGCTGAAGCCACTTCCACATGAGTTTGATCCCCGCCTGTCCTGGAGGTGACCACATGGCGTGGCAGACCTCTCCTGACCCGCCCGCTGCTCTCCTCAGCAGTGTACTTCGTCCATCTGCCTGTTCTACTCCCCGTTCTGCTCCCCACTCTGTCTCTGGTGAATCCTCTCACCGCCCCTGAGCCTCTGGCCTGTACCCCAGTTCTGTATGCATAAATAAATCTTAAAAAAAAAAAACCAAAACAAGACTAACAGTAACAATAAGCAGCCATAATCATTCTTTGGATCAGGTAATTTACCATCTAAATGGATATCTGACATCTAGAAATAAGCATATAATCTCTCTGATATGATATGCAACCCAAATCTATCACATAATTCCACTAGTAAGTCAGGGTATGTGGCTATGGAAATAGCAGAAGTCCTTCAGATGAAAATGGATCACATATTAAAAGGAAATTTTAAAATGTCTATGCAGATTTTTAAAACCAAAGGGAGTCATGTGACTGACTTAAGGATTACTCATTTGTAATGTTGGTGTTAAAGTACCACACATGAGGAAGTTCATCAGACTTACAAGACTTTTAGAGACAAAGTTCAAGGCTCCTCTATGGATAACTGGTGAAGTTCCCTAAAAGTTTTAGGATCTCCTTTTGAGAATGTTATGACTTAATAGTCTCACAAAATTCTTATTAGAAACCAATTGGTGGTCCTGTAGGTAGTAGACCTGTAGGTAGTAGAATAAACTTCTTGTGTTCATGACAGTAGGCAGCGGTTAAGGAGGGTAGAACTGAATCTAATGTTTACTCCCCCAGCCCAACGATTTATTTACTTATTGTGCATACAGGAACTGGGGTGCAGGCCAGAGGTGTGGGCGGTGAGAGGATTCACCAGAGACAGTGGGGGAGCAGAACAGGTAGATCAACTGGAATACACTGCTAAGGAGCGCAGAGGGCAAAACAGAGGTCTGTGGTGCCATGTGGGTCACCTCCCTGGCTGGGGTTCGAACTGGTGCAGCAGTGGCTGTATAGTGCTTTATAGTGCTGCACTTTAACCCATTGCACCAACAGAAGGGCCCTATGTTTACTTAAAAAAACAAGAAAAAGTTTGTGATGCACTCTCTCTGTTCTAGACTCACTTTAGGTAATGCAAAGCCTTAAAAGACTCATATTGTTAAGGTGAGACTCTAATGGCATTCCTGATCTACTGGTGACAAGTACCAGGTGTACTTATTCAGTCTTGTATCACCTTTGAAGAATGATTTAACATAGTAAATACATTTTATAATAAAAAGGTAAGATGTGTTACCTCTTCACTCTGCTTTACTTCTGATCTACTTACAAGTTACGTCCATGGATATTTGGTGTTAGCAAAGTTGGTACAAATGCCTCTGATGAAAACAGCATAAATGGTCAGTGTAACTGTTTTTGCAGATTACATTTTATACAATGAGGAGTTATTTTTTTTTTTTTGGTTTCAGGTTGCTATATATATTACTTACATTGCTATATATTACTATACCTTACATTGTCAGATAACAAAATTATCTGAAATGTGAGTGAAGCATTATAAAAACTATTAAGAGGATTTAAATTATCACAGGAAACAAAGCAGAATGTATTTTAGATGTAGGATAAAAGCAATAGAATAATCTTTGAGTCTTAAAAAATAAAAACACAGCAGCTTATTACACCATATAATGTGCTGGGGATAGTTCTAAGTGCTTTATACATGTGAAGTTATTTATTCCTCAAAACCACTCTGTATATTTAAGAACTATTTTCATTTCCAGATTAACAACATAACAGTAAATGGCAACTGACATTTGAACCCAAAGATTCCAGCTCTAAAACGTGAGTTCTTAACTAGTATATGGTATTGCCTTTCTTAAACAGCAATATATATGCAAGTGACCTGTATCACTAGAATTTTTAATGGGCAAGGGTTTCCAGATGAAAAACATGTATTTAGGGCTAACTGAAAAAAGTTTTCTCTGGCTCTGCATGCACATTTTTGAAGATGGTTTAAACACTTTACTCAAATCTTTCCCATTCAAAAATTGAATTCTTGGGCTCTCCCTGGTGGCACAATGGGTTAAAGCTCAGCACCACAAAGGTAGCTATAGCTGCTTCAGCACGAGTTCAATCCCAGGCCAGGGATCTGACCTACATGGTGAGGCAGATCTCCTGATCTTCCCGCTGCTCCCCTATGCAGTGTTATTTCGGTACATCTTCCTCCCACAATGTCTCTGAACCTCACTGCCCCTGCACCTCTGGCCTATACCCCCATTCTGTATGTATAAATAAATCAACCTTATAAAAAAAATTAAACTCTCAAGAGAAAAAAATCCTTAAGTAGGGAGAGAAGGGAAAACAGAGGAAGGTAAATGGGTATGTCTGTAGAGTGCTAGGAATAGGCTAACTGAAATTAACAGACAAGTTATTACATAATTCTAAAATTGTTGTAGAGTTTCTGAAATACAGAAATTAGAATGCTTAATAATTCAATTAAAATTGATATTAAAATGATTTTAACATGGCTTAAAGGGGAATTAAGGACCTGCCATTATGATTTTAATAGTATAAATACAGCTATCTTTTACACACACAAATCAAACAGCAATATAATTAAATTCTAAGAGTTAACTAACAATCTACAAGGACTGTACATACAGTCTGCATTACCACTAAAACACAGCTAATAACATCTGATGGTGATCAACACATTATTGCATTTAATAAGTAATGAACAGCAAAACACAAAATGTACTCTATAAATGTTTCACTGAAACGCTCGATTTTGGCTTCATGTAATGAGGTATTTGTAGAATTATTTGTTCACATTTTATGTACCACTTAATCTGAGTTTTTTTTTTTTTCTTTTTTAGAAGGGGGATGGTAGTCAATAAGAAAAAAGACAGACCAAGTTTTTATTTTGAAAAACAAGTTATCTACCCAACTTCCAAATTAGTCTGGTTTCTAAACTTCCTCAACATGCACACACTACACTAATTCACATCAAAGAAAGAATTTTAAAACTATACATTTTTATCTTGCATCAAAGCTGATGATTAAAGGGAGGTCAGACCTGTACCTGACTTAGAGATATAAGACATGCTTTAATTCAAAGGTCAAAAAATAACTAGAGCCAAAAGACTGTCAGAATGACTGAAATTCTTTAGGGATAGATACCACCAATGTCCAATGTGAAGGCAACAGTAAATTATTCACTTCAATCATGTTGTGGGTTACTGGCATATTAAAAATCTATAGCATTTGTCTGGAAGAAAAGATGGTTCATAAATGGAATCATCTGTACAGTATATTTTTGATTCTGTGATAACTTAAACCTAGATTAAGAAAAAAAAGCAGTTTAATTTATGGCTTATTTTCCTCTTGTGTTTTGACACAGGTAGTCACTTTTACAAATGACACAGGTGGTCATTTGAAAATATGGTGATACAATGCTCTAGGTCTGTATGATTAATTCAACCTCATGTTAGACTTATATGCCCACGTAATTATCTCACCAAAAATTTCAACAAAATTGGGCATTTTCTTTTAATCAGGACTTCAAGGAACATTGAATATAGCACTCTATGATCAGAAAGATGAAAAGTCACGCAACAAAACTGAAGGGCAATAACTAAAGCTCAATGCTAACATTTCAGTGTCATAATATCATTTTGTTAACATAGGACCTACCTGAATCTACAGAGGACACAGGAGCAGTCTAGGCTACTCCCGATGGTCACTTGCCCAGGATTAGCCATGGCTATCAGGTTTGCTTGAACAGCTTGAATGAAATGTTTGCAAGAGTTTATTTAGCTGACTCTTAACTATAGGAGCCAAGCTGGTCTATATCCTGAATCTGGAAAGCTCCCTTTCAATGTAATTTTCATAGTCTTTAACTTTTAACTGGCATTGTTTATTACTGTTTGGCTACATTCTCTACAATTTCAGCAGCATCTTAGAGACAATGTGTCTATGTACAATGAAAAAAAACAAAAGGGCTTGCAAATCAAGTAAGAGCCACTGTACAACATGAAGGAGAATCTGTGGTTAAGCATAGCCTCTCTTTTTTGGCAACATGGACAACTTACATGTAAGTATCAGCATTATGAATGCGACAATAAAGAAATAATCCCTATAGGAGTGAAATACAGCATCCTGAAAAATGGTAGTCTAAAATAGTTAGAAATTGTTCACATTTTAACAAATCTGTACAAAACACAATTTGTTTATGGAGCCATCATCCCATCTTACTGGTTAAGAACCTTCTAGAAATGTAGAATAACCAATTTTTAAATCTAGTATCTATCTGTGTTCCACAGCCCTAGAACCCAAGAAAATGATTTAGAGAACTCTGTCCAACATGGATCATTCTTACATGCCTTGATCATTAGCGAATGCTTGCTTTTAATATCTCTATGATGTAGTCAACTTGCACCATTATGGAGGTGACTCTTTTTTTTTTTTTAGCAAAGAAGCAACAGCATTTAGCAGCAATTAAAATGTCTTTAAGAAGACTTAAAAAAAATACAATATCCAATTAGAAAAGCCATATTTTTAAACATTTGTACAAGAATAAGCTGCTGAAACCTGGTAATTGAAGTAAGACATCTGTACAACAATTTACAATAGTGCTAGAAGGGAATTTATCATTATCCTGCATAGAACTGGTCTGCATTTGGTTACACACTGTCACTTGTAAAGAACGAGGCCTGGTAACAAAAGAAAATATATCTTAACAGTTCCAACATGTTGAACACTGGAGTTAATACAATTTAGTAAGTTCAACTGATTTCAAAATAACTCATTTTGTCAAAGGTGTAAAGTGTCTAGGAATAGCTCTTCTGAATATAATCAGTCAAAAAAAATGGACATGTGATTTCGAGGTACAACTTGGTAAAAGCCAGACAGGCAAATGACAAAGTCTAACTTTGTCCAAAGATTCTCTCTCACATTCTATTACTATAAAACACAACTGTCATTCAGTTCTTACTTTGGTTTCAGCAGATTAACTGCCGAATGCTGAAGAATGTATCCAGGCACTATAGTTCTTGTGTTAGAAATGTCTGTTTTCACGTGTTTTTAAATAATGAAAAACTACCCTTCATTTTAGAACTCTCCAGTAACACCAAATGTATTTAAGTATTATAAACGTTATATTTACAGTGTTCCCCCAACAAGCCATTTTTCTTCTACTTTAACATGGTATTCCTGTTTCTTTGCAACAGGCAGTCATCCTTCACTGCTTAAGATTATAGTCAAAGTGTACATTTATTCACTGTCCATGATCCACTTTCATACCAATGATGCTATGAAGAACTTCAGTTCTCAGCCAAGTCCTATGTAAAAAAGAAAACAACAAAAAAATTCAAATGCTCTCAAACTCAAGTGTGCACATCTGGAAGCAATTCAAAGATAATCATGCCTATTTTGGAGGTAAGTCAGTAAGTAATTATGCTTGAAGAAGGGGGTGTAGGGGATGCTGTCAGCCCAGCCATGTGTAAATTTCCTGAAGAATTCGATCTTCTCATGTGTGGGAGAAGGTATGGGTCATTTGCCAGTTGGTGTACATCAAATCGATCTTCTTTTCGGTATGCTAAACAGCGTCTTATAAAGGCCTAAAAAAAAAAATTAGCAGTCAAAATCATCTTTTGTCCTTTTAAATATCGATCAATTGAACATGAACATATTTAAGATAATAGATTTCATTTTATTGGAGGTTCAAATCTACAGAAGAAATTTGCAATAAGCTTCACTCCAAATTTCCAGTGGTTCACTTTATAGTCTAAATAGAGCAACAATAAAATAGGAACAATTTAAACATTGCTGAAACTGTACTACTGTGTATACAATTCTTGTGACTTCTATTTGTAGAATTTTGTGCTAAAATAATCCTTCACTTTCATTTTGACTACCAGTTTAATTTGGCTAGAAGCAATGCTGCCTTTTTTTTCCTTAGTATACACTTACTTTAGATGAAGAGGCCAATGAAGTGATACTTCTATTAGGATGTTTAGTTTCCTAGAGTAATTAATATTGTCATCATTACACTTTTGAAAAAAATTAATAGGGGTGAAAAGGAAAGTGATGTTTCAATTGCTTCTTATAAATCTTAACTGAAATATAACATTTATTTTAAAAAAACATAGTAAGTATACAATACAAAGGGAATATAGGTTGACTTAATTGTCAATCTGATTAAAAAAAAAACAACAAAAAAACTTTCCTAGAATCTTCCCTAGGTCTCATGCTCTGCCCCCATCTCTACCTGACTTGTCATACTAGAGCAAGTTTTGCTTATTTTCAACTTTATGTAAATGAATCATTATGTTTTTTATTCGTCTGGCTTTCACTCAATATTATTACTAAGAATATTCTTCTTTGCAATAGATAACATATTCTTAAGGAACAATTGGTTTCCTTGTTTGACACTGTAAAAGCAATCTCCCACCACCAAAGTACCCATACATACATAGTTCATCACCAGAGTACCTTGCATTCTTTCGCACCCTGTTTTCACCCCTTTCCTTCCCTTTTGGATGCCTTTTATCTCTGATCTGCTTTCAAAGTTTGTGTGTGATCCTTTGGCTTTTCTATATTCTATATATAAGTGAAACCATCTGACATTTATCTTTTTTGATGATTCATTTTACTAGAATTAAAAATAATTCAAGATTTGGATAACTGACCATAACTCTGCCTTCATTCCCCCCCTAGATATTATTCTGCTTTCCAAGCCATTCTTTCCCTTCGGCCTATAGTTTGAGTTTTGTAGTACCTAAGAAACCCAGGATATCCCTTCTTCTAAAATATTTACAAATGTTCTTACAGAACAACTATGAGGTTCTACTTTGGGATGACTCAAAGAACAGAGTAACATCATCTTCAAACAGGTAAGGAAGGAATCATCACTAGCAAATGCAAAAAATTTTGTACCATTCCAGCTCAGTATCAGTAATACCAGCAACATTTTAAAGGGGGAACAAAAAATTCAAATTTTATTTCCATTATGTATATTTTGACATGAGCAATAGACTTAATTCCTTTTGCTTAGCACAAACTTGTCTTAGACATATTTCTGTAATTGTCTTTGTAAGACTCAAACTGTATCTGATAAAGTTCTTCAAATGTCCATAGTGTGATGATTTGAAAATCTGACATTTAGAGCTTCATTTCCCTTTTCAAATCTAATTTTATTGTACTTTCAAACAGTTGTCTCTTACTGTAGCCTGAATAGCTGTACAGTGTAGTCCCTTTTCCACTTTCATAGGAAAATTCTTTATCAACCAGCAGATTTGTGAATTCAGTACCCCTTTATTTTTACATGGTATCTGTCAACACTAATTTTCTGTCCAAATACTATTTTTAAACATATTTCATTCAAAACATCATTGAGCCTCCTTTGTTTTTAAGGATGCTGACACTTAAAGCCTAACTGAAAATTCTTAAATGCTTTGAATTTATGTAGTAATTAATAGGAAAACTATTTAAGATCATTTTTAATGACTTAAAAATTTAACTACTTTGTAGCACCTTTGTTTAAAATTCATTGGAAATAATTTTGTCAAACAATTCTATTCATATGTTATTATAGTTATTAAAACTTAAAGATGTAATAAATATTATCTATTAAGATGGAGTGATTATTATTCTAAAAGTAGAATTTGAAAAACTACCAATAGAAAGGTTAAGAAGTCTATAAGGAGTAGAAGTATTAAGGTACTCTCATGAAATCAGGAGAATTACTTGAAAAAGTTGTATTTCTGCAGGAACAAAGGTTAAAAAAATAAAATAAACTGAAGCTATCTTTCCCAGAAGCCAAGGTGACTGTGGTATTCCTAACCGTAGGACAGACTCAGAGGTGGCTGAGTGGAACTTTCCTAGCACACTATACCTACTCCTGGTTATTTTTACTCATTTAGGAAAGACAAAATTTTTAGACATAATTAAACTGAGAGAAGTTTAGAACAGACAACCTAACTGAAAATACACTCTCCTCATCGCTGAGGAGAGCAGTGGGCAAGACAAAATGAAATAATTAAACTGAGAGGAGTGCACTACGACCTCAATCATGTTTAGAATTACATGGACTAAACTAATGGAAATCTTGTCTAAGCTGAGTAAGAGGTTAGGCTTTCTCAAGAGCTAGTGTAGGACAAAATAAGATCAAGGTTGTGGATTTTGGGGTGTAGGCAGAGGTGCAGGAGGTAAGTGGATTCATCAGACAGTAAGGAGCAGGGGAGTTGTGGACAAGACAGGAGAGGTCTGCTGTGCCATGTAGGTTGTCATCTCCCTGGCTGGGGACTGCACTTATGCTGCAGTGGCTGGTGATAGCTGAGACTTTAAACCTTGCACCAGTGGGAAGGACTTGAACTACTTATGGCAGTAACAAAGATGCTAATACCATATAAGGTTGATAAAAGATGTATGTGCCAAGCATTATGTTGATACATAACTATTAGTATATTATTAGTATGTGTGCTATTAATATTCTTAAATAACTCAGTATTAACATAAGGCTACCCATGTGTTCAAATCTTGTGATTTCCCTTAATTTCCAAAGCAAAATGTTATAAACAAAGAATCGGGGACTATAGGAGGTAAAAATTATCACAACCAAATCTTAAGGAACTACTATACTACCAGTTATTTGAATAACTTTAAAAAAGATTTTGATAAAAAATGTTTAAAAAATGTTTATTTTAAAACAAATTTCATAAAGTAAATGACAAAAATTTAAAACACAGCACTATGAAGCTATCCACAGACACTACAGTATGAGATCAATCCCTGGCCAGGGAGGTGACCCATATGGCATGGCAGACCTCTCTTGCCCACTGCTCTCTTCAGCGATGAGGGGAGTGGTTTTTCAGTTAGGCTGCCTGTTCTATTGCCTATTTCATCTCTGGTGAATCCTGTTAGCCCCTGCGCTTCTGGCCTGTAACCCAGTTCTTGTGTGCATAATTTAAAAGATTTGCTTTTGTTCTTCCTGTCCATAGTATCAATGAGAACAGACACTAAATGAGTAAAAGTAACCAGAAATGAGTCTAGTGTCCCAGGAAATCACATTTAGCCTTAAGTACTTGCCTCCTTTTATGCACAGTTTATGAAATGAAAGTTATTTACATAGATACCTTTGCTTCACTGCTTACGACTGGTTTTACAGGGAACTGGACTTCTGTGGCTTTTAATATTGTATTTTCTTGAAGAATGTCTTGTTGAGATTGATTATGACCAAATGGCTAAAAAGAATGAAAAGGGTGAGAAAATTATCTCATGAAATATACATATCATAACTGAATCCTTGAAACAAAAAACATATGTTCTAGAAAAATATTACCCATAGTTATTTGGAAGTCTGAATATATTAAAAAAAAAAAATTGGAAAGCCCATCTAATCAATCCTCAAAATAGCTGAAACAGTGAAGCAGTAGTTGAAAATAATGATGTTGCAGTATGTTATGATGAAATAAAAACAAGATTATATAAAACTTTATGAATGTTTAAATGATAACCTTTGATTAGAAGTGAGATGGGATTATTAGATGTAGCTATGGTAATCTGTAATTCTGATTTCACTATAAAAGTTAAATCTGGGAAAAATTCAGACTATATCTGATGGAATTTCCATAGGAGGCATAGGGAAAACACAAGGAAGTAACATGAAGGATAATAAAAAGTGTTTGACTTCTGTTTTCCTAATGTAGGGCTAGCATTGCCAACTGATAACTTTGACAGTAAAACTAATTCATGGCAATTTTAGAAAGAAATGCACCTTTCTTTAAACAATCTAAATTGACTTCCAGTTAATGAGGAAAATATATATGAATTTCATAATATAAACTTATGTACTCTAACTTACCTTTCTGCCATAAAGACACTGAAAGAAGATGACTCCAACTGACCACACATCAACTTTGTTGGAAATCTTTGGTGGCTCTTTTCCAACAACAAAACACTCAGGAGGTAAATACCTACAGTATTTTGGGCAGAATGAAAAAGTAATTAAAATCATAATTTGGAACCTAAGTATAAATTTTTACACACAATCCTTAGGATTTTCAAAGCTTTGGATGCATTTGTATTATTTGATCCTAGAGCCAAAATACAACTTTGTAATAAATATGCTATTTTCAGAAATGAAAAGTTACCACTGGAAATCATCCCATTTCTCTTCACTGCCACCCCCCGCCCAAATAAATAAAGCCAATTTGTTTTATCAGTAAAGTGTATTTTGTGTTGGCTTGTCTGTGGAACATCACCTAAACATTACGTTGTTACTGTCTCTGAGGCAAAATGATGTGACCAAGGAGAGCTAGACACCAATGCTCTGACACCCAGAATTTAGTGGAGACTGCATTTGAGACCTGAGAAAGACAGCAGGACAAAATTTTCTTGGTTCTTCCAATGCAACCTTGTTTCTATATAGTCTTTATTTACTAAGATTCTAAGATTTTGTGAAAAAGGAGTCTTGTAAGCCATTTGTCTTTAGACTTTAAGAAGACAATATAAACATGATTAACCTAGTCATAAAAAGTGAGGTCTTTATAGACCTGTGGCATTCTATGGCATGGCTATTTGTATATGGGAATCATGAAGACAGTTCTGGAAATCCTAAAATCACATGTTTATAGTCACAAAGTCAAGTGTAGTTTCTCTCTTCAATTAAGGCATTACTTCTGATAAAGTTTAAATTTGGAAATTCATACCATGAATCTATGGCATTAACAAAATAAAAACTAACCACAAAACCTCTACAGCGAGGGACTAAAGGTTATATGGTTATTACTTGCAACAGCTAATATTAATACATGTATGAAACATCTTAACAAAAACCACTAACTATATAAAGATCCCTGCATCCTTCATATTTGGGATTTCTGGCTGGAAGGCACTGAAATAATTTGCTAATACCAGCAGAGGATGACAATATTTGTTTCCCTCTTGACTTGGACATCTCATACATATCAGTATCTTTACCACAGTAAGCACAAAGGTACATAAAAATAAAAACTAAATTCTAAGAACGCTGGGCATTATTAATTAGATCATTTTAATAATTTAAATACATTTACCAGTAAGTTCCCGCTCCTTGGGAAGTTAGATCCATTCCATCAACACCATAGCTATCATCATCCATAATCTTGGACAAACCGAAATCAGTGATTTTGATTTCCCCACATGCTGTTCCATCTACCAGAAGAATGTTTCCTAAGAACAGAATATAAGTTTATTTTAAAGAATACAGACAAACAACATCTTTACTATGTAAGCTAGTTTTGGGGGAAGTAAATATCTTTAAAATGCGTATTTAAAATTTTAAATATAATTAAATATTTTAAAATGTGGTGACACAATAAAAGCATGTGTAATATATACCCCACTGACAACTAAACCAAAAAGCACATTTTTTAACAATAACTATTCTTTAGAGCTTAAAAATTTATTATACATTTCATGAATTACCTGGCTTAAGATCATAATGTATAATAGGGGGTTTGATTTCATTGAGATATCTTAGTGCATTTACAATCTGCATTACAATAGACCTAGCTTCTTTCTCTGACATTAATTTATGTTGCTTCAGATAGAAATCCAAGTCATTGCCTTCACAGTATTCTAACACTGTACAAAACCTAAAATGAAAAGAGAAAACAGACACAAAATATTATCCAATAACTCAAAATTACATTGGAGAAATGAAGAGGATATTACCAGAGAATAGTGAAAACAAAAGCAAACATGTCTTAAAAACAATCCTTATATTCACTTACGTGTCTGTATCCAAGGAGAAATAATCATACAGTTTAACTATTCTGGGGTGATCCAGTTCTTTGTGTATTCTATACTCTCTGCAGGCATGTCTATGGGAAGAGAGTATATCAGTTCTCCATGACCATTAAATATGTTTTCAATAGATAAAAAAAGAAGTTTTACTATTTACTTGTGGTAGTTTTCTTTCTTCTCATCCCTCCAGCTTTTATTCAGCTGATGTATCTTCACAGCTGCGTATCTTTGTTCATAAAGGTCAAAAGCCTAGGGTCAAGGCATAGAAGAGTTAGTATAAAAGACCAACAGATTAGCACAAAAGAGGTTTTTTTTTGCAGTAATATAGAATATATATTACATTTTTGGCAATCACCTTTGCTAATATTCTTTTTCAGTGGCACCAGAAATAAGACACAAATTCCATGGTGCTAAAGCAGAATAAAGTTTACTATAAATTTTCATATTAAAGTTTTAGAAATGCCAACACGCTGAATCACCATAAAAGAATAAAGCTATTTGTTTTTAATATGGACCTGCTCTGCTCTACTGGCAGCAGCAATATGCAGCCAGGAAAACAAATGGCTGGTAAGCTTTTTTTGTGGGTTGAATAAAGCAAACCTTTTTTCTCGTCTTCTATCTATCTACTACTATCTCTTCTACTATCTCTCCCAACTTCTTTGAAAATTTATCAAGTTCCTAACAATTTTCAATGTTTAACAAATTAAAATTTTTATTATGAAAGCATGTAAATACTAGTATAACCATGATCACATTATCATCACACCTAACCACATCAATAACTCTTTAATCTCATTAATAACACAATTTTGTTTTAATCTTCCTTGGTTGTCTCAAAATGTTTTTATACAAGGATTCTTCAAACAACCATCTTATTTTTAAATAAAAAGACAAAGTATGGTCAGTTTTATGTCTTCAAATAATTTAAAAATGTTTTTTAAAAAGCACTTAACATCATTAAAGAGAATAATTTAGGTTCCACTGTGATTTATATTCAAAGCTGCCTCTCTTTACTTACATGTTTGTTAAAAAGAAGCCCTTTCACCCATCAATTTAAACTAAAAATAGGCAGGCGGGATAAAATAGTGATTATTTTGTCACAAAACTAAAAAGCATGAGGACCAGAATACAGGACTCTAATTAAAATACTCACTTTGGAGCCAGATTAACCAATTAGCTACATGAGTTTGTGCTAATCCCCTCTTTCAGTCTCATTTATAAAGTTAGTGTTGAGAGGATTAAGTGGGGGTGGGGGATGCAGGATGTCAAACCTATATTTATAATAGTACTTGATTCTGGGGCCCTCCCTGGTGGCGTGGGTCAAAGCACAGCTCTAAGAAGCTGAAGCCCCAGAGATGATCCACATGGCGTGGCAGACCTCTCCTGACCTGCCTGCTGCTCCCCACTCTGTCTCTGGTGAATTCTTTCATCACCCCTACACTTCTGGCCTGTACCCCAGTTCTGTAGGCATAAATAAATCTTTTTTAAAAAAGTTGTTGATTCTAAATAGCCAATAAGCATTATATTACTAAAAATTAAGTTAAATATAAAAGTAGTTCATGTGCGAGAAAAAAGGCCATATATTATGAAATGAAAAAGCAATCATAAGGATAGCAGAGAATACAAAATTCTAAGTATTCTAGTAAGTTACTATCAGTGTATATAGATTATGGTAAGTATATGATAATCACTCAAGATTATCTGAGTTATTCCGTATCTTCTACTTTGATATATAAGTCTTATTTTCTGGTTTACAATCCACTTTATTGCCCAATGGACCTGCCAGACATGAAAGGGTTTGGAAGGGCTCTGCAAGAGCTGCTGAAGGTTCAAGTCATTAAGCCCCGATCTGTATTTTCTAATTTCTATAAGCTTTTTCTTCAAGAACCCTTTTTTTTGGGAGCTGAAGACAATGAAAAAGCTACTTACTGGACAGTGGCAAAGGGTTGTTATGAAAGCTATCAATAGGTTCATAAGGATAGGCATCTTCTAGGCTGAATGAGTGCTGGTGCTAACTGTATTTCTGGTGATTTTTAGATCCAGGGTGGTCTGTTACAATCTCTTCTACCTTGTGGTGTAGGGTAAGCCTACTTGAACCATTAAGATCTTGAGGGTATACTACCATTAGAACCAGAGAAATAGGAACTACAGGAGAGATCACTTCTGATGGGTGAGAAAGGTGAGGTCCAAGATTGTTAACGCTTGTCCAAGTAAAAACAAGAACAAAGAGCAGAACTGACATTCTCTGAAGCCAGATTTTTTTTCAGAATGAGCACTTGAATACTGGATGTCTTCAATAAACCAAGAAGGTATTGTTCTCAATCCTTTTAGTAGGGAGGATTTTTAATAATTATATGATTTAGTAGGGAGGTTTTCTAATAATTATCTAGTGATCTTATAACTAAACTAAGTACCAATGTTTTATATGCTATACCTCTAGTCATATTCAGTCATTATAATAACCATATAATGTAGGTACTGTTATTCCCAGATGAAGACCGCGAGGCAGAGGATGGTAAGTAATAAGCCCAAGTTTATACACTTAGTGAATAGCAGTCTGCATTCAAACCGTACATTGCCAGGCTTCAGAGACCACTAACTAGATTATTACACAACAAAGAGTCACAAGGAGCTTATAAAAGGCAACAAGGAAGCCTTCTATAGAAACTGAAGTTTAATAGTTTGATCTTCAATGTAAGACTTTACCTAGCTAAGAGCAAATAAATGTTAAGTCATAGGGTTTATAAGAAAGGAAATGAGATGATTTCACTATATTCTATTTAAAAAAAAAAAAAAAGGCCATACTGGTTGCAGCATAATAAATGAATAAATGAAAGGGAAAAATTCAATGTCCAGAAGGTATCATAGGCTGGAATAGCAATTCAGACAAGACACATGAGAAAAAGAAGGTAATGAGTGGATTTAGGAGAACTTAATGAGACACTTAACAGTCACCAGGGATTTGTAGTACTTTGGGGGAAGGTGCAGCAAATGAGTTTCCAGTTTTTCACAGGAGAAACTGGGAAAATGAATGGCAACAACACATACTGATGTATGGAGCAACATCAAAGGAAGGGGTATTGGAAAAGAGGAAGACAATTTTTAGTTCAGACATATGTTTGCAGTGCCTATGAAACATCACATAAGACAAACAGATTAACTTATACACACAACAAAGCATGGTGCTCAGAAGGAAAGTGTGGGATGTACAGATGAGGATGAAATCAAATGGAAAATAACTAAATGAATGGGAGGGATAAATTTAAATAGAAGAATATAGAGTAAAGAAAGTAAAGTATAAAACAATGAACATAGCAAATGTTTCTACATTTATCTATACATTCATTTGCAAAACACTGGCCTTAAATAAGGCAGAACTTTGGGTAAGTTCAGGATATGAATAACTTTTGACACATGTTTAAGTTAAAGAAATACACTCTTGATAAATCAACTATATTAAATGGTCACCTACCCACCTGATCCTATTATATCAACTTAGCTAATGGTAACTACCACCAATGATCAGAGGGATTGTGCAAGAATAGTCTTTAGCCTCTTAAGAGGCTATGTCTATCTACAAAATCACCAGATTCTTTTTAGTGAGCACTAGGAAATAAAATCAACAAAATTATAAAATCAATAAAGATAAGTACTTCTTTAATCATATATTCCTGCATCCTTTCTATATTAGAGTAAAACAAAACAAAACAAAATTACATTACCTTATACACTTCACTAAAGCCACCTCTACCAAGCAGATGAAGTAGTAAGTATCTTTCATTTAATGTTGGGTGATCTTTGAACCTTAAGAGTGGGGGAAAAACACTTAGACAAATGAACACACAAACACAAAAGTTCCTTACAATACATTTCCACTCTTATTTTACACTAGGCTATTTCTAACCTAGGTTCCTCTATTCCATTCTATTCTTTTGCTACTATTTCTGTACCTGCCTAACTAGTTAGTTTATCATATTTAAAAGCTTCTTTTTTTAAGTGAATAGTGAGCTTCAATGACCAATTATAGTACTCTGATAAATACCCAACAACTATTATGTTGCCAAGAGTTTTATCTGTATCTACTCAGCAGGAATTCTTACTCTTGGAGAAACATACTTTTATGTTAGGATTTATAGTTAGACAAGATGATTAAAACTGTATTTGTAAACTGGCCTTTATCCATGATTAAATTTACTGTCTTTAGGTTGCTAAAATGTTAGTTCAGTTCAAAGAAATGTCCAGAATTTTCTTTTTTTACAAACTACTCAGACAGAACTACATGTCTGTTACATGTTAAGCACATGTGCACCCTATGAGGAGGGCACTACTACACAGAAAGGTTAAGCAATTTGCCCCAGATCAACAACTAATCCAGGAGGGTACAATAGGAAAATGTCCCCAAATGTGTACTCTTAAAAGTCAAAGATAGCTGTATTATCGGCTATGTATTATGTAAACCCACTATTTTATGAGAAGTTAACATAACTAAGTTTGAAGCAGTTGTAAATGAGAGATTTCTGATCTAAAACTTTAACAATGTAAAGCTATAATAATTCACTAGATTTTCATCAACTGGACTAAGTCATATTCACAAACAAATTCAAAAATAATTTTCAAAACAGCCAACTGTAAATTAATTTTTTTGACTTGTACTAGACTATCTGGTACCATATAGAATTTAGGCTATTTCAAAACCGTATTATTTAATTCACCTAATAAATTGGAATCTGTCTATAAATTACACCTGAACAAAAACATTTATTTTTCATTGCAGAAATTAGCCACTTCCAATTCTGATACACATCATGTCAGGAAACTTTAAAAGTCAAGGCTTGAAAGAGTAAACCGACACTTTCCTTCAACATTCAATCCAAGTAAGTGTCTTGCTTAATTTCAAATTTATCGCTAAATCTTTTGGGCCTCCCTAGGGGGGAAGAGGTTAAGTCTCAGCACTATCAAGCTATTGGCAGCCACTGAGGCATGAGCTTGATACCCTCAGTTCTATCTACCACCAGGGAGCTAAGTGACACAGCACAGCAGAACTCTCCAGTTTTGCCTGCTCCTCCCCTAAGCAGTCTATTTCAGCAGATCTGCCTGTTCTGCTTCCTTTTCTGTTCTGATGAATCCTCTCACTCTTGCACAGTTCTTATATGTATAAATAAATTTTCTAAAAGTATCTGTTTGTTCACAAAGCTCCCATTCAATCCACAGGTACTTTCTTGCCTTTGAATTCTTCTAGCATTTAATTTCTACTACACTCATTTTTTGATAACCAGTGAGTCAGAATAGAAATCATAACTTCTCCGCTGCTTCTCTAGTTATTACATAATGTACTAGATATACTGAATTACTGAGATTCTTTATTTGATTCCTTTACTACTATTAAAATTAACTTTGGTATTTAATCAACAAGTATTTCTTGTATAGCAATCGTGTGCAACACATTGGTCTGGAGATATAGTAAAAATAAAACTAATTATTCTATACTTTACATCCTAGTGAGAGGAGACAAATAATAATTAGCTGAAAAATTTAGAATTACAAACAATGATAAATGCTATTTAAAAAAAGTGAGGTTATATTGAGAGAGAGTGGAGTCAGTCTAGGATTACTATTTTAGGTTAGTGGCCTAAGGATGGCCTCTCTAATAACCAAGTGAAGTGAACAAGCCATTCAGATATTTACAGGAGAAACATTTTGAGCAAAGGTAATGTCAAACACGTTAGTCCTGAGATGGGAATGCACTTGAAATGTTTGAATGAGGGGAGGATTAAGAGATGGAGCAGTGAAGTTGCCAGAGACCAGAATATACAGTATCTTCTGAGCAATGGAAAGGTCTATGAGCCTCTTACTAAGTGTTTTCAAGTCAGCAACAATGAAATAATGTGTTTGCTGTCTGTGGGAATAGGGAAATTTTATCATGAAAAACTGAAATACAAATAATGACTTACTGAGAATTATCTTCATTGTTTATTCTTTTGAGTTCTCGAATGTGAAGATTTCTGACTCTTTCCAAACGTTCAAGTTCTGCCTGGATTTCTGCTTCTTCCTGAAAATGAAGAAAGGGGACTATAACAAGCTCAATTTATTTGCGATGTAAAAAAGATATTTTTACCCATGCACCAATTTTTCTACAGTGAAAGGAAGAATAGTGTATTATAAAGTACCAGAGTTAAAAAACCAAACAGCTCTTTTCAGTGCTGAAAGATAAAGACATAAGGCAAAGTCTATTTCAAGAAACCATCCTACACATAAAAATCTATACCTAATGAGATGCTGAGTGTTACCAAGAAATCTATTTTTATAATGTCTAAACTGAAAGTGACTGCAAGGTAGTGTGAAACTCGTTTGTATAATACAAAATGAACCGAAAATGTAATTTCTGGCCCATCCAAATTTTGAAAAGGAATTATTTACGAGTATAAAACAAATGAAATGAGGATATTTTACAGTAAGAGAGGAAGAAAGAAGACAGTACCACTGATAATTTATTAACTTAGAATTTGAAATATATAACACAATTTGGTCACTCACTTTGGATATATCTGAGACACTGAAACAAAAATTTTACATGGCTGTGGCAGAACCCTAGTTATAGCATATATAGCAAATGCCAAAGAAATTTAACATTCATTGACTGTACATTTTTGACATTTTTCACGCTTCAAAATATATTTCAAGAAAACTAGTCATTAAAACAATCGCCCAGCACTCAAACACACTTCTTTTGTCAATATAAATCTGATTCCTACTGACAGAAAATATCAAATTTCAGTTGAAATTTCTGTAAATGTCTGTTAGTGTTTTTGAGTAAATATATATACAGATTGGGCCTAAATGTGTACCTACTGACATGATATGACATGAACTACAAGTTATTTCTGAATATTGCCCCAAAATATTTATGCATTCCATTCATTTCTCTTCTTACAATGATTTATCCTCTGGTATTTTAAAAAATCCTCTATTTCAAAAATAAATTCTGAAGTTTACTTTGAAAAATATATTATTTCAAAGCAGGTAACAGAAGTACTACCACTTCACTAAGGCTTAAACTAAAAGGAATATTCAAAGTACTTTTTTTTTACATTTTAAAAGGGCAGATTTTTTAGAAAAAGGAGAAGGAAAAAAGAGGCACCTGTATCGTCACAGGTAGACAGTCTTGGGAGGAAAAATTAATTTTCATAGATGAAGAAAATGAATTTAAGCATTTTATTTATATTCCACTTGACCTTTAAAATGATACTCAACCACTGCTTACTGCAGATATTTACTTTAGATATTAGATACTTACAAATAAATTTAAGTAAAGATAAACCTTTCTAGAATTACGGGACATTTTTCTAAAACAGACACACTAGATTATCTTAATTTATCTAAAATTTCTTTATTAATGTAGCTTAAGTCACAAATATTTCTAGTTTTAATAAAAAAAAGAATATCCTATGAAACTGTATAATTAAAGCTCATTGTAATAACATGGACTACATCGAAAGCTTTGGAACAAACTCAAGTCATAATTTAGTTACCTTTACACCACAGTATGTAGAAAGTGGTACTTTTTTCTCTTCCTTATTAAGGAAGATTTGCTGCCTTAAAACGTGCCATTAACTCCATTCTTACACAAATAGGAAGCTACTAAACATCTGTTTTGCTGATGGAATTATAAATCTGATAAAACTGTGAAATGCCTATTATACATGTCAGTCGAAAAACTGTTTCACCTTCATTTGAAGTTATGGAATAGGGATACTATTTCAATTGTGTACTCTAGAAATTAGATTTCAGTGTGTCATAAATATGTAATTACAAGTTTCAACTAGATTTTTGCTATAAAATAGGATCATATTTTATAACCCCGGCAATCTTCAGTAATAACCAATATTAAAGGATATTTTTTAGGGAATAATGTGCCAGTTAAGTAAGCTTTATATAAAACATGACAAATATGTCCCATAAACTTTTACAAAACAAAAGCATAAACACTTCAGTTTGTATTGTTTACGAGAAAAATAATACCAGAGGAACTGGGGTGGGGGTGGGGGGCGAAGCTGGATCCTAAGAATTCAAGAGGATGTATCAAGAGAAGCAACTATAACCAAGTCTCATATATAGACATAAATCCTCTAATTTTTTTCAAATTCCATTGAAAAATAATACATACTGTTATGGATTGAAGGTTTGTATTCTTTTCAAAAGTCTAATGTTTGATGGTATCAGGAGATGGGGTTTAGGAGGTAATTAAGAGTAAAATTGGGTAATGAAGGTGGGAGCTTAATAATGGGGATTAGTGGCTTTATGAGGTTCCCCTGCCCCCTCTTGTGGGAGCAGAGAAGAGGCCAAGTGAGAACTTGAGAAGTTAGCTATGTGCAAACCAGAAAGAGCCTCACTTAGCAGCTGAGACCTGCTGGACCTTGATTTTGAGCTTCCAGCCTCCAGAAATGGTGCGAAAATAAATTGCTCCTGTTTAAGTTACCCAGTCTATAGTTATTTGTTATGGCAGCTCAAGAAGCTTGATATACATACTTTTACCCAAATGCTAAGGCAATGCTGCTTAGTAGCCTTTTTTTCTGGCCCAGTTCTGGTTTGGCCCCAGATTATTATAATCTAGGATACTTTAGGCTCAACAACTAATTTATCTTTGGAGCATACATTTCCAAAGATCTATTCTTCAGGCGATGTTCTTCTTGCTTGGGACTGACTTTAACTCCTGGGCAATCTTCAGAATAAATCTTTTTCCAGAAGGATCAGGAGGGACAAGGATGACTTAGGTTCCAACTGACTTAATTCTGTTACAGGATGGAATCCTCAAAAGCAAGGCAAAAGTAGGCCAGATTACCAAAATAAAAGAGCTAAATTATGCTGAGTAAGAACACCACGTTTAAATCCTTGGCTTATCCACTAGCAATAGCAGTAAGTAAGCAATAAAGAAACAGTGTTTCTGGAAAGTAATTGCTTTCTAAAGGCAACTATGATGTACAAGAGCTATGAATGAGACTAGAGAGGGAGGTAGGTTTGGTAGTCAAATAGAAACAAAGAGACAGAGAGCATTGGACATTTCAATGGTAAAAACTGCAGCTGTTAAAACAGTACTTAAAAATAATCTTTACTGATCTTAATTATGTTGGGGGAAAAAAAACAAGTTACACAAGTATAAAACTGATCTTAAGATGGCCACACTGTTTAAGTAACCTACACACAACCTTCCAAAATTTTAACTTAAAATTCTGTATTTGGAAGGAAAATTCTAAAGCAATTAACAGAACAATTTGTCACTCACCAAATGTTCAGCATAGAAATGTGCTTCCTATTTCTAATCAAAGACTCTTCTGGCAACTCAGTATCTAAGCTCAATGTTCTAAGCCAAAACCAAGTCACAACAACCTAGGATTTCTACGAAACACCAAGTTAAAACTGGCAGGTGGATGTGGGTATTTTTGAGTACTTCCTATAATGGCGACTTTAAAATGGGCAATTATTAAAAGACAAGTGGGGCATGTCAACATTTATGCCAAATGTTCAGCTAAAAAATGTAATTTTACATGTAAACCTGATGCATTTCCTGGGGATGGACCCCAAACACATGAAGGTTTATTCAGCAAACCTTAAAAGTACATTACATGCTATTTATAACAAAAACTCAGTTTCAAACAATTGAGCTTCTATAAAGCCCAAATAAGACAGAAAATATTTGATACTGTCTCATTTGCTACTAGGATTGGCTAAAGGGGAGAAATTTGAGTTATTTATGAAGATAGTGGAGAGAAAGAAAAACACATTACTTTGAGACACTCAATAGTAATATAATATTCTTGTCTAGGAAAACTAGCTCAGAATGTGGATTCAAAAAGCCTAACAGCAAATTCACCTAATAACATGAATGGTTATTAATCACTTAAAAGGTAGTATCCCTAGATCTTCAAATTGTTTGATTTTCAGAAACGATTCATAATATCATCCCAAAAGCCTGTCACCAGGAAATTAAAAGCAAAATTAACAAAGGCCACAATTAAAAGGAAAGGTCAGTGCAGAGAAAAAAAGTAGAAATTTATTACTGATTTACATTGAATTTATATTCACTGTGTTGCCAGGTATCTTTTATATGCTCTCCCATATCTTAAATATGGATATGAAAGAGCTGAACCAACGGAAACTTTACCCAACCGACAGGCAAAATAACCCATGTAGGCAAAGTAGGTATGTATTTATAGACATCAGTTTTGAAACAACTGCCTGTATCCTATTTCCCTTTGAGTATGATTGAATAGAGTGAAGAGCAGGACAGAAAGAGAAGTTGAGAAATTCCTGGTTTTGTTTCTTTTTCTAACTATGAAAATGCTCCTTCTGCCCCCATCCCCAATCACTGAGTTCACTATTTCTGATAAAAGCATACAGTATTTCTGATAAAAGCATACAGTATCTCAATTTAACTGGCTTAGAGTGTTATTTTAGAAACTTAGTATCTTCTTTTTTCTCACTTAACTACCTTCTTTTTGTGTGAGGTGGAGGTAGTGTGGCATTTTATTCTATCTTCAAAAGCATGGATACATTATTAAAACCCCTAACTGAGAATAACTGTTAAAATGGGCATGTTCTGATTCTGAGTTCCACTGTTCTATTTAAACAAAACCAAACCATTATCTCTTTCCAGCAGCAAGTTGAGTGGTAAAATCTGAGTACTTTAGTGCACTTCTTGAAGAAAAAAGAATTTACAGCTAATGTATGAGGGGATTAAATTCCTTGATGTTAAACAATAACAAGGTGCAAGGACCAAACCTTCACACATACAAATTTCTTACAGTATCTTGTAGCTCTTCTCCCAGTTTTCTACCCTTTTAAATTCTTCCAGGATTTTGGTTCCATATTTTTTTAAGTATAAAGATTTAACTTCTTACAGAACAATGTGAAGAGCACAGTCTTTCAGGCTCTCTTTACGAATATGACAATAAATGACATGGAATTATAGTTTTAATTGGGAATGGTTGATGATCATACAACTATTCTTTTTTTGTGAAACAGTGATCGCTACACTGAATTTACAAATCTAAA